ATATATATATTGTCAACTGATTTTTGTCAAGGGTGCCAAGACCATTCAATGGAGAAAAGACACTCTTTTTTCAACAAATGGTGCTGGGACTAGATATCCACATGGAAAAGAATGAACTTGGAGCCTTACTTTGCACCATATACAAAAACTTAGATCAAAAGTCTTAAACATGAGACCTAAAACCATAAAACTCTTAGAAGAAAATAGGAGAAAACCTTAAAGACATTGCATTTGGCAATGATTTCCTGGATATGACACCAAAAGCAAAAACAGATAAACCGGATTACATCTAAATTAAAAATCTGTGCCTCTGAGGACAAAATCAACAGAATGAAAAGGCAACCCATGGAATCAGAAAGAATATTGAAAATTAAGTAGAAGAGGTTAATATCCAGAACATATAAAGAAATCCTACAAATGAACAACAAAAAACTTGATTAAGAAACAGGCAAAGGACTTGAATAGATATTTCTCCAGAGATCACATACAAATAACTAATAAGCAAATAAAGATGTTCAATATCAGTAATCATTAGGGAACTACAAATCAAAGCACAATGACATACCACTTCACACTCATTAGGATGACTATTTTTATTAAAAAAAACAAAACAAAACAGGGGTTGGCAAGGATGTGGAGAAACTGGAACCCCTGTGCACTGGTGGTGGGACTAAAAATGGTATAGAAAACAGCATGGCAGCTCCTCAAATAATTAAAAATAGAATTACCACATGATTCTGCCTTCCACTTCTGGTTTTATTACCTCCCCTGCCAATTGAAAGCAGGTTCTTGAAGAGATATTTGTACACCTATATCCACAGCAAAATTATTCACAATAGTCAAAAGAGAGAGTAACCCAAGCGTCTATTAACAGATGAATGGATAAGTAAAATGTGCTATATACATACAATGGAATATCATTCACCCTTAAAAAATAAGAAAATCATGTTACATGCTACAACATGGATGAACCTTAAGGATATTTTGCTAAATGAAATCAGCCTATTACTAAAAGACAAATGATACATGATTCTACTTATATGAGGTACCTAGAGTAGTCAAATTTATAGAGATAGAAAGTAGACTGGTAGTTGCCAGAGGCTGAGCATCAAGTGGAATGAGGAGTTGGTTGAGTGGGTATAGAATTTCAGGTCTGCAGGATGACAAGAGTTCCTAAGATGGATGATAGTGATGTCTACACAATGATATGAATGCACCAAGCTGCACATTTAACAATGGGTAAGATGAAAAATTTTGTTATATGGATTTTACCACACTTAAGAATAAAAAAAAAAAAGAGAGAACAAGAAAATCAAATAAATACAGCAGTGTTGATGCATAGGGGCACTTTTACCCCAATGTTTATAGCAGCACTTTCAACAATAACCAAATTATGGAAAGAGCCTAAATGTCCATCAACTGATGAATGGATAAAGAAGTTGTGGTTCATATATACAATGGAATACTACTTGGCAATGAGAAAGAATGTAATATGGCCTTGTGTAGCAACATGGAACTGGAGAGTGTTATGCTAAGTGAAATAAGTCATACAGAGAAAGACAGATACCATATGTTTTCACTCTCATGTGGATCCTGAGAAACTTAACAGAAGACCATGGGGGAGGAGAAGGAGGAAAAAAAAAGTTAGAGAGGGAGGGAGGCAAACCATAAGAGACTATAAAAACTGAGAATAAACTGTGGGTTGAAGGGGGGTGGGAGGGAGGGGAAAGTGGGTGATGGGCATTGAGGAGGGCACCTGTTGGGACTTCATATTTAAAAAAAAAAAGAAAATCAAGAATAAATTTAACTAAGAAGGTCTAAGACTTGTAAAATGAAAGCTACAAAACATTCCTGGAAGAAATTAAAAACCTAAATAAATTGAAAGACATTCCGTGTTCACAGCCTGAAGACTTAATATTAAGATTGCAATAAACTCCAAACCAATCTGTAGATTTAATGCAATTAATATCAAAATCCCAATGACCTTTTTGGCAGAAATGGAAAAGCTGATCCTAAAATTCATATTCAAATACAAGGGGCCTGAATAGCAAAGTAGTCTTGAAAAAGAACAAAATTGGAAAACTCATGCTTCTCAATTTTAAAACTCACTACAAAGCCAGAGTAATCAAAAATACTGCAGTAATGGAGTATGACTAGGCATGTAGATCTAAGGAATGCAATTGAAGGCCCAGAAATAAACCTTCACATCTACTGTCAGTTGATTTTTGACAAAAGTGTCAAGACCATTCAATGGGGAAAGAATAGTCTCTTCAAAGACTGGTACTAGGACAACTGGGTATCCACGTGGAAAAGAATGACGTTTCACCCTTACCTTATATTACATACAAATGTTAACCCAATATATATCAAATAGGTAAATGAAAGAATTAATAGTATAAAATTCTTAAAAGAATATAGGGACAAGACTGGATTTGGCAGTGGTTTCTTAGATAGGATACCAAAAACACAAGCAACAAAAGAAAAAAATAGACTTCATCAAAAGTAAACTATTGTGCATCAAAGGATGGTAATAAGCGAGTGAAAAGACAACCCGGGGCGGGCGGGGGGGGGGGGGGGGGGAGCAAATATTTACAAATTACACACCCAATAAGAATCTACAATCCAGAATAAATAAAGAACTCTTGCAATTCAAAATAACAAACAACTTAATTACAAGTGGGCAAAAACCTGAATAGACATTTCTCCAAAGAAGATATATATATGTACACACACACACACACACATATGGCCAACAAGCACAGGAAAAGATGCTTACTGTCATTAGGAAAGGGGAAAGCAAATCAAAACCACAATCAAAATGACAATGAGTATGAGATACCCTTCACACCTACTAGCATGGCAAGAAAAACCCAAACAGACAAACCATAAAACAAGGTAAATAAAAAGTGCTGGTCAATGTGGAGAGAATGGGGCGCTCAGACATTGCTGGTGGGAATATAAATGGTATATCCATTGTGGAAAACAGTTTGGTGGTTACTCAATAAGCTAAACACAGAATTATCATATGACCTAGAACTTCCACTCCTAAGTATATAACCAAAAGAACTGTACACAAGTGTTCCAAATAAAAACTTGTGTACAGATGTTCATATCTGCTCCTTTTACAGTAGCCAAAAGATGGAAACAACCTAAATGTCCACAAACAGATGAATAAATATAGTATATACATGCAATGGAATATTATTGACCCATATAAAGCAATAAAGTACTGATACATGCTAGGGCATGGATGAACCTCAAAAATATGTTAAAGTGACAGATGTCTGACTTGGTCACATCCGTATGATTCCATTTATATGAAATACACAGAACAGGCAACAGAGGCAGAAAGTAGCTTCATGGTTGTCAGGGGCTGGTGGGAGGGGGAATAGAGAGCGACTGCTTAATGGTTAGGAAGTTTCTACTGGAGTGATGAAAAAGTACACAAACTGGATAGTGGTGATATGTAAAACACTGTGAATATACTCAGTGCCATTAGACTGTACACTTTAAGATGGTTAAAACTATAAACTTTATGCGTGTAAAGTGTATGGATTTTACCACACACACACACACACGCGCGCACACACACACACCCTCTACTGAGATCTTTTTTCCCTATCTCCTCCATGGAACAAAAAGCCTTAATCTGTTATCATTCCCAATTCTTCTCCTACTTTAAAAAGTCATATTGTTCTATTTATACATGTAATCACTATCATTTAATACCTACCAAAAACTCAATTATGAGAAATAATATTTATGAATTGTCTCAATGTCTTGTGTCTCCTTGCCTCTAGACTAGTGGTCTCTAAGTTTTTTTGATCATGCAGTCCTACTGATAAAATATTTTTGAGCACAAATTACCAAAGTAGGTATTTATTTATGTTATAAATTATGGCTCTATTCATATATTATAAAACATATACAGAAATATAAATTTTAAAAGGCTGAGAAAAATAAATATCTTTTTTTTTTTTTTTTTTTTTTTTTTGTCTGTACTCCAGTGCCCCATTCTGTAAGCATCCCTCTTTGGAGAACACTCCTCTAGATACCCTAAATTTTATTCTTGGGTTAAAGTATTAGTCTGCATTTGCTGCCCCCTTGAAGTCTGCCTTTACTGAAACTCCGTAACATAAGGTCATATTAACCTTATGGGTGTTGTTACTGAATTCCTTGTAAGGATGCTGTTGAGGACTCTTACTTACACTGTGGTGCCTTCTTTATGAGAATAGATGAGAGAAATTTCTCTTAGGTCTCAATATCAGAAATATTTATAATGCTTTTGAAAACCTAGTTTTTATATTATAGACTTAGGTAATTGATCACAAAGTTGTAGCAACACCATGTGCTAGAAAACATAGAGCAAAATTTGTGGCTCACTTCTAGCAACCATATCCATAAGGTGTATTTATTTATCTCCCCTCTGGCTTCAACTTGTCTTACCACCACTCACAATTCTTCATTTATTTATCTTTAAAAATCATGTTGTAGCTCATCCCTTCCTGGCTTTAATTTAATTTTCTATCATTCTAATTCTTCATTTACTCAAGAAAATCATTATTGTATTACTTACATAAGTATGTGTCTGGATATTTGTGTCTGTGTATATCTGTGTATGTGTTTAAGAACATCTCAAAACTTCTTGAAAGACAGGGAGGAATGAATAAGCAAAAAAACCCCAAACAAACAGAAACGGCCAGGCACTAATGTTCAGAATGGAGGTCATCCTAAACTGGAAGCTCCCCCGTGCCAGGGGTACACTTTGCAGATTCTGAAGCATTTAGCAGCAAAGCCCTTCGTCGTAACTGAGTGTTGAAGAAAAGAATGACAACTCACAATAGCACTGTACTACACTTTCTCACTCTTTTCCGAAAGTTGGTAAGAAATGTTATAGTGAGGAAAGGGCAATTGGCTTTTTTTCACCTGTGTGCAAAGGTTAACTAAAAAGTCCATGAAAAAGGCAGTCACATTGCCAGACGGAATTTGTAGCCATGTACCTGGATGTGTTTCCTTCTGGTGTGCTCAGAAGTCATTTGGGGATGACTTGTATTCAAAGCTTTCTTATTCTTCTTGCTCCGCCTCTCAAGGTATCTCCTCTGGTGGTCGGTAATGCTGCTGTATAATTTAATTCGCCTGGGTGACAGACAAACTCTTTCATGGCCAAAAGCTTGGATCAGTCGGGCAGTGTCAATGGTGGAAATAGAGCTGCTTCTCTCCTGCAAAGTCACCTCTTTATCTGTTTGGGTCAAGATATCAGATTCCACAGGAGAATTGGTTGTGGAAAGGATGTTGGTGGCAGTGTCTGTGAGCAGCTCACTTTCATCAGATGGTCTAGAATCTGAGGAAGTGTTGTTTATATAATGAAAACCTGGCTGTTTTCTCAGGATATACTTATCAAATTTAATCTGTTCAATTTTAATCTGGTTGGACTTCCCAGCTTGATGAGTAGAAAGCGCCTTGCTTTTTTTAAGCTCTCCTGTGTTTTTATGGCATTTCTCCAGGCTCTTATACCGCTTCTTTTTCTGAAGCTTGATTTTCTGCTGTTGCTTAATATCCCGTTCCCCTCTGCTATCATCCTGTGTGCTTTCAGAGGCCCAGAGAGAATATGTGATGGGATTCTGAAGAAGTTTAGCCAAACGATCAAGTCGCTCCACCAAGGATAGTTCTTTTCTGTCACTAAACTCGGGAGGTTTCTTTTGTTTCTGTCGCTCCTGATACTTGTTCCAGAGTTCATTCAAACTCACAGTGTGCTGAGTTGTTAGCTCTGGGGTGACCTTACGATCCCTTTTTGGATCACTAATTTGTCTGTCACTTTTTGGATAATCTCTAGCCTGACTTTTAGCGGAATGCATCACTTCTTTGTTTTCCAAGTTTACATTGATACTGAGGCTCTCTATTCTGGTATAATCTGCCTTGGTCTTTCCCACATTTTCATCAGGGCAAGGAAGACAAGTATGTTCTCTTGGTTTGTCTGGATGACGCTGAAAGAAATCTTTCCAAGAATGCCTCATGAAAACACTCCTCCCCAAGGATTCATGGCAAACATCTTGATCAGTTGGTAGGTGGACTGGATGATGAAAGTAAAACTTGGCTGACCTGAAGACAGAATGGGTAGTATTTTCAAATTCTGAATGACATCTGGACTCTGAAAGGGAGAAAGAAAAAGATTTTGAAGGATTTTCAAAATATTTGTATTCCCTTTAGAAACAGTATTCACACTTAGGGACGCCTGGGTGGCTCAGCTGGTTAAGCGTCCAATTTTGACTCAGGTCATGATCTCGCAGTTCATGAGTTTGAGCCCCGCATCGGGCTACGGTGCTGACAGTGCGGAGTCTGCTTGGGATTCTCTCTCTCACCCTCTCTCTGCCCCTCCCCTAACTCTCTATCTTTCTCAAGATAAATAAACTTAAAAAACAAAAAAAGAAAAATACCCATCATTAAAAAACTATTTTTTTACAAAAAGTTTCTACACAGCAAAGGAAACAACTGACAAAGAGAAAGGGCAATGTATGAAATAAGAGAAAAGAAGTGTATACTATATGTCTGATAAGAGGTTAATCTCCAAAATATATAAAGAATTCATACAACTCAATAGTAAAATAATAACCCAATTGAAAACCTAGGCATATAACTTGAACAACCATTTCCTCAAGATATATAAATGGACAATAGGTAGATGAAAAAAGGCTCAACATCACTCATTAATCTTATCAAGGAAATGCAAATCAAAACCACAATGAATTATCATCTACATCTGTCAAGATGGCTACTATCAAAAAAACCCAAAAAACAAATGTTGGTGAGAATGCAAAATGTTGTAGCTGCTGTGGAAAACAGTACGAAGGTTCCTAAAAAAATTCAAATTAGAACTACCATATGGTTCAGCAATCCCAGTTATGGGTATTTATCCAAAAGAATTGAAATGAAGATCTCAAAGGAATATTAGCACTCCTAAGTTCACTGCAGCACTATTCACAACAGTCAAAATGCAGAAGCAAACTAAATATCCACCAACATATCGAAGAATAAAGAAAATATGGTATATCCATAAAAAGAAGGAAATTCTGCTATATGTGACATAATGGATGAACCTTGAGGACATTATGTTAAGTGAAATAAGATGGATTTCACTTTTATGAGAGATCTAAAATAGTCAAATTCACAGAATCAAAGAATGGAATAGTGGCTGCCAGGGGATTGGGGGGAAGGGTAGGAAATGGGGAGTTCCTAATCAATGGGCATAGAGTTTCAGTCAAAGCAAGATGAGTAAGTTCTAGAGACCTGCTGTGTAACATTGCACCTATAGTCAACAATATACCGTACACTTAAAATTTTGTTAAGAGGGTAGATCTCATGTTCAGTGTTCTTTCCATGATAAAATTATGGGAAGGAAGGAAGGAAGGAAGGAAGGAAGGAAGGAAAGAAGGAAAGGGAAGGAAGGGAAGGGAAGGGAAGGGAAGGGAAGGGAAGGGAAGGGAAGGGAAGGGAAGGGAAGGGAAGGGAAGGGAAGGGAAAGGAAAGGAAAGGAAAGGAAAGGAAAGGAAAGGAAAGGAAAGGAAAGGAAAGGAAAGGAAAGGAAAAGAAAGGAAAGGAAAGGAGGTAGGAATTTGAGGACAAATTACGTGAAGCCTAGAACACTAAGCTAAGGACTTTAAAATTTATTCTTAATGGAAATTAAGCACCAGTATACCATTTGAGCAGAGGAATAACAAGATTATGGCTATACTTCAGGAAGGATACCACAGCAACAGGATAAAAGCAGCAAAATGTCAAAGGGCTAACGAGAGTACATTAAAAAGTAAAGCAAAAGCAAAAGCAAAAGAATGAGGAAACAGATAACATTACTGGAAAATGTATTTGTTTTCCAATATCAGTATTTTCAAACAACGCAGTCCCACTGACTTGGGGCTGAAGTGAAATACATGGTAAAGAGTAGAAAATGAGCAAGCTGAATCCGTTGAGTATAAAGAGCTCTATGAGCAATGAGACTACACAACCCTATCTCATGGTACTTCATTGAGTAAAGGTCAAATCAGTTGAGATGGATGTCTATTCTGAAAATACATTAGTTTTACACACAGCATTTGTAAAATTCTCCCCAAATATATCAAAGTATATTAAACTATGATTTACTACTTTTAAAAATTAAAGTTAAATATGCTCATTGTAAAATATTCAAATAATGTAGAGAATTTACATTATTCTGTACAAAGAATAATTATTCTGCCATCCCTCAACCCCTAAGCCACTTTCTAATAATAACAACTATTAACCAGGTTTTATATACCCATTTAGATAAAATGCTGCCAAGTGCTGCAAAAATATTTGTTCAATGAAAAAAATATTTTATGCCTATGTAAACATTTTATATTTACTGATTTGATATATAATTTAACTACATGTTTAGGTTGTTTCCAAATGTTTACTCTCCTGAAGAATGCTGCAGTGGATATCTGTGCATGTGTGTGTGTGTGCGCGTGTGAGATTTTATGTTTGATACAACTTTATGTGTATAACTCCTGCAAGTGGAAATGCTGGATGAAAGAAACATTTATTTCAATTTTAGTCCATGTTGAGAGTTTAGATAAAGGGGTCCAAAATATTGCTGCTTCAGCATCCATTTTGTGTAGGCAAGCGGACTGCAGGGGCCTTGAACTAACACTAGCCCCTCCTTCGAATGCATGCCCTAGAGAACAGCACGCAGAATCTTAAGTATTTAAGTTCCTTATATGACCTCCCCAAAAGTCCTTGTGATACACAGTCTCCCCACCTCCTAGGGCCTTACCCTTTGTGCACCGCTTACACAAGACCCTTGCCAAGCTTACCAAAATACTGCCCTTTCTGGTTTTGAATTCACCAGTTCACCCTTATCTTGGGAACCAATCCACCTATAGACCCTAATAAAGGCATGTACCCCAGGTTTTGCCATTCTCTTGCCCCGTGTGTCCCCTCAAAGCATGCTGTGTACCTCCTCCAGGACCTGTGAATAATACAGTTCTCTATATCAATTTCCCTTGTACTCTTTTGTTGAGCCATTGGACATCCCAGAGCTCTACTTAACAAATGTTAATAAAGTCACAACGGTTAGACATTGTCAAATTGCTCTATTCTTTAAAAATGTTGCAATAAATTTGCACTTCTAACAATAGTATTATGAAGATGTATGTACATTTCCCCATATCTCAACAATACTTTTTTTTTTTTAAGTTTATTTATTTATTTTGAGAGAGAGACAGAGAGAGTGCATGTAAGTAGGGGAGGGGCAGAGAGAGGGAGAGAGAGAATCCCAAGCAGGCTTGGGATCCTAAGTTCCAACAATATTTTTATAATCAGCATCAAATCTTTTCATCTGTGCTATTCTAAAGGGCTTAAAAATTTGTGTTTTAGGGGTGCCTGGGTGGCTCAATTGGCTAAGAGTCTGACTCTTGATTTCGGTTCAGGTCATGATCTCATGTTTAGTGGGATTGAGCCCCACATAGGGCTCTGCGCTGACAGGGTGGAGCCTACTTGGGATTCTGTCTCTTCCTCTCTCTCTGCCTCTCCCCCCCAATTTCTCTCTCTCAAAATGAATATTAAAAAAAAAATCTGTGGTTTACTATATTTCTTTAATTATGAAAAAGTCTAAGTATTGTTTCATATCTTTCATGGCCATGTGTATTTCTTTTACCATAAAATTCCTGCTCATGTTCTTTGTTTTTCTTTTTTTTTTTTTAATTTTTTTTTTCAATGTTTATTTATTTTTGGGACAGAGAGAGACAGAGCATGAACGGGAGAGGGGCAGAGAGAGAGGGAGACACAGAATCGGAAACAGGCTCCAGGCTCCGAGCCATCAGCCCAGAGCCTGACGCGGGGCTCGAACTCACGGACCGCGAGATCGTGACCTGGCTGAAGTCGGACGCTTAACCGACTGCGCCACCCAGGCGCCCCTGTTCTTTGTTTATCTATTAGACTGTCTTTGATTTATAAAAAAGCTCTTTGCATATTAAGAAAATTAGCCCCTTTTCTCAAGTTTATCTGTTTAAAATTGTTTTCCTACTTTGCATTTATAAATTGACTTTGCATATAGTATTTTTCTACCATGCAGAAATTTAAAATATGTAGACAAATTTATCAAATATTTGCTTTTAGGACTTTTAGATTTTGTCACCTTACTTTATAAGAAATAATCCACACCTTCATCCAGAACTTTTATGATCTCATGCTCTCTTTTATTACTTACATCTCTGAAACATACGAGTCTTGGTAACAGGGGTAAGGAGAAATCTACACCCACACGTCCTCAAACGCTAGCTAAGCATCTTGGTATAATGTGTTGAATAATCCCTCTATTCCAAACTGATGTGAAATGGCACTTTTAAAACAGTAGATTCTCACTGTATTTATTTCCATTGAGGTACCCACTCTCAGTCTCTTGACCCAATAGCATCCTTTTTTTTTTTTAATTTTTTTTTTTAGTGTTTATTCATTTCTGAAGGACAGAGAGAGCACAAGCAGGGGTGGGGCAGAGAGAGAGGGGGACACAGAATCTGAAGCAGGATCCAGGCTCTGAGCTGTCAGCACAGAGCCCAACGTGGGGCTTGAACTCACGAGCCGCAAGATCATGACCTGAGCAGAAGTCAGATGCTTAACTGACTTAGCCCCCCACGCGCCCCCCACAATAGCATCCTTTTAATGGTTACTGCTGTATAGTTTATTTTAATACCTTGTATAGCTAAATCCTACACCATCTCCATCATCTTTTTCAGACCCTTTCTGGTAAAGAGAAAATTTTATTATTATTTTGTAAAATTTATATTTACAAATATATTTTGTAATGTATTTGTATCATTTATAATATTTATATATTATTAATGTCATAAATAATAATTATTTATATTATTTTGTAGAAAAGAAAATTCCAATCCTACCAAAAGGCAGCAAAATAGAATAAACTTCCACACATTTCTGGTAGATTCACCAATTGTTAAAATTTTGCTACACTGGCTTATCTCTCTATCACAACCTGCAAGCATATGCATATTACTTACATTTTATCTGAACCATCAGAGAATAAGTTATAAATATCATGTCCTTTCATCCTGGGATACTATAGTGTATATACCCTAAAAGGAAAGGCATTCTCTTACGTACCATGGTATAATTACC